GTCGATTTTCACGTGAACTTGAACAACGTTTACAAAATGGTTTGTTTTTTATAATTTTCATTCTTTGTTTCAAATCTTTTCATATTAATTCAAATAGGTGATATAAGTGAAGAAGCTAAACATGCTTATAATTTATTAATTAATGGTTGTACAAATAATTCATCTTTATCACATGAAGAACATTTACATTCAACAAGTCATGATGATTTATCATTAAATAATAATGAAATAGATAATAATAATACAAAACAATCTCTTCTACATCCATCAACAATATTATTTGGTTCATCATCATCATCATCATCAACTAGTATATCAACAAGTTCAACAAGTAATAATACTCAATCAAATACATCATCATCATCATCATCTGGTCATCAAAAATCAGATCGTCATTCACATTATTCATCAACATCAACAGATAATGATATTAGTATTGATCTTAAATCACAAAATGATTTATCTCCATTAAAGTATATATTTTCTTTTTTTAATAACAAAAAAAAAAAAATAACCAGAGTTTTTTTTTTTCTTTTCAAAGACTTTTAAGAAATGGTATTAATCCTTCAAATTTAATATCAAAATCAATTCGTCAACAAATATCAACTAATGAAATAAATTCATCAAATCATTCACCTATATCATCAACATCAAATACATTAAGTAATTTATCTATAACATCACCATTATATGATCATCATCATTTATTATTACCACCACCTTCACAATCATCATCATCATCAAATAATGATGATAATCGTTCAATATCAAGTTTAAATTCACGTTCATTATCAACAAATAAAAGTGAACAAAATTCAATAACAGGACAACCATTACCACCACCACCGGATCTATCAAGTTTAGGAAGTAAATTAACAACAGCAACAATGACACATACATTAAAATTACCTGTACCATTAACATCATCAACATCAACATCGAATGCATATCGTTCGAAAAGTATGAAGATTATATTTATTCGTTAAAGAGAATTTCTTTCTTTTATTTTGAAATTAAGTATAAAATTCAAGAGAAAATAGTACTTGAAAAATATTTATTTTGAGATAAATTTTTTTTGAATCTTATTAGAGAATTATTCAAATCGATACTTGCTGTTTGAATTCATATTCGATCGACTTCAAAGGCATATGGGATTAATTCTTCATGCTTCTTGTAGACTTACCGAGATCTCATTGTAAACAGAATAGGAACTCAAATAGTGGATATTATTTCATGTGAAATTTTTACTGAAACTTTTTATTTTCATATAAAATAATCATTTTCCATGAGATCAAGAATTAAAGCTATATTAGATACCCAAGAACCAAACAGACCGACTGTTTTTTTTTCCGACTTGTCTGTCTAATAATAGACTATAGCCTTCTATAGTCTTGTTGTACCTGTCAAGTGTCTATCTTGCTCTTGTTTACTCATGTCTGTCTGTTTACTTTTATTATATACGTCAATATCATACAAGTTGCTGAATGAAATCAAAACCTATCTCATTAAAAACGCAAGAAAATCATATAAATCCAAATAAGATGATTAGATAAAATATTTATTTATATAATACCCTGGCGAAAGAAATCTATCAATTGATACATTACTTTTGATTCGAGATACTTCATTTTTACGGTAGTTTTTAAATGAAGACTAGTTCCCCTTTTAGGAAAATAGATTTTAGCATTTCAACTTGTTGCTTTACATAGACGCATTCCTTAGCAAGCACAGTTTTGTTGTAAACGTTTCAGAATCTTATTATTCTTTCTATCTTAAGATATAACTATGACAAAAAGCATATCTTGAAACATTGTTTATAAAATCGACAGATTTCATGCTTCTATTTCAGTACAACAATAAATCAAATGACATGAAACTAATCTTGGTAATACGTGTCTCTGTAAAATGTTTCAAGTAAAAATTTGACACATCTATGTAATCAGAAATATATTATCAGACATAATTATGGTTAATCAAAATGATCAAATATCGATCTAAAACAATATTTCTATCTGATCCAATGTTTTAAAAAAAAATCATTTTCTATTTTTAGAACGTTTCAATTTGTTTACTTCATAAATCTTATTTAATTCAAATGGTATTTTTTTTCGAATGTTCGAAACAACTAGTCAAATGAATTTTCTTCTTTTTTTCTGCTGTTTTCTTCCTTGTTCTTCTTGCGTTGTTAATTCGATGATCGATCCGTCCTTGTTCTCTCATAAACGAATATTATTTAAATTTGCCTTGACAATGATAATGACTAACACTTTATTTTTTACTTTGCGTGTGTGCTAAATATTTTTTTTCTTTTTCTCGATTTCTACTGAAATTTAAATGAACAGTGTATCATATTCATTCGCTGTTATTGTCTTCTTATACAATTAAATACAAGAAAATGGATATTATAACCGACCATATATATGTATACATCAACAACTACAAGAATAATATATAACTGAAAATAATATTAACTTGGTTAATTATCTAGTTTTCTTCTTCATTCTCTTTTTCTTTTTGTATTTCTCTTCTTTTTTTTTTCTGCACATCTCTTTTTCATGTATGTAAAAGAAAATCGTAATATAATGTATCATTTTTTTTTCTGTTTTTTTTTTTTTTGGTTGTGGCTTGATAAAAAGAAAAATACATGCTTATTATATATTATTATTATTATTATTATGAATGTGATTGATGTCTAATAGTATGAATCAAATATCATTATGTATTACAATGATGGGTGATTAACTAAAAAAGAAACTAATATAAAGAGTAATATTATCGAAAAAGAGAAAAAAAAATTGTCAAGCCCAATCGAAATAGAAAAATGACAAATTACATTATTCGTTTGTATTATTTCTCTATTCGCTTTATATACGTGTTTCTTTTGCATATCAACAAGCGACGATAAGCAGCTGTTATACATAATGTGTATTGTACGTAGGTGAAATTGCGAGCAAATTAGTTGAATTTTCTTTCATATACTCTAGTAAAAAATATTTTGAAATAGAAAAGAATGAATCAATATTTATTTAGTCTATTCGAAAACTTCTTTGAATTCAAAGAATTATAAATATATTATAGAAAAAAAAAAAAAAAAAAAACAACAAAAAAATCTTGTCATAGTTAATATAAAAGATAGATAAGAATCATAAGAAATTTGAGGACATTATTTTGATTATTATACTTAAATTCATATGGATTCATTTATATTGATTTTGAAAATCTAATCATAAATTAATAAAGCTATTGATATTCATATTAATTCGAAAATTTTCTTCAAAATATAATCATATAAATTTATTCAATATTTTAGCCTGATATTTGTCCCTGTTCGGATTCATTAGATATATGTCTATGTTGTCTTCCACTTAATTTACTTTGCTGCTGTTCACCATGTTGTGCTCCTCCGCGGTATGAATTCCATTTTCTTTTTATTTTATATTTAATACATACATATGAATATTTTTATTTTCAGTGAACGAGTTGTCTATGTTCCTGCAACTCAAGATAATCGTTATATTATACGTGAACCTATGATGCGTTAATATTTATAATAAAAACTAGCAACTGTTATCTTTATTTTTTTTTTTGTATATATATTTGTAATCAAGATTTACACGCATATAACAAAATAGTTGATAATGTCTTTTGTTTCTTTTTTATTGATAATAAAGTTCAATATTCATACCATCATGAATTTCTATGAAAGAAAAAAAGAAATGATAACTAATTGAAATAAATAATTATTTTACAAACCATAATCAGCGAGAGTTATATTGTCTTTATAAATATTATCTGAAATTCATCGAAATCCCAAATTATATTATTGTATCATTTTAAATTATCGGATATAAATATTTCCCGATTTGATGTTACGAGCTTTACATAAGAAAATCTAAATCTCCGACAACATAATTAGAAATTCACAATGGATTTCTAATAGAAGAAAGATAAAAAAAAGGAGAAGAAATACTTACACCATTTTTTCAATACAATTTTTTCGGCTTTCGTACCAGTTTGTGCAGCAATTAATTTTTTAAGATCACCGATCGTATCATTGGAGTTACATTTGACACGAACTTTTTTACCAAGACGATCGTTACAAACAACTTCTATCATTTTTTCTTTTAGCAATAAGATAAAAGAAATATATTCTCTTTTTCTTTTTTTTTTCGGTTGTACACCGAAATTCCGATTGGTAAATTAAGATAAACCAATGAAAAACATTTCGGCTTTCTGCTTCGAAAAAAAACAACAACACATTACGAGAAAACCAAATCAATATTTTACTTTTCAAACTAATTCGTCCGAGGAGATTTATTTTTTATTTTTTTAACGACTAACGACATTATGTTGGTTGATAATGGTGTGACTCGTGACTGTGCATTCGTGTGTATCCCCAACGGCCATTGCGATCTTTCTTTTCCTTCCTGTCTCTGACTGGCCTAGGCATCGTCTTGCGTTTGCATACTCGTTCTTTGCTATTACTGCTTTTCTGTAACTGCCGTTTCTTCTTCTTCTTCTCTTCTTCTCTTCTTCTTCTTCTTCGTCTTTTCTTCGCTCAGTCTGTCTCTCTCTCTCTCTCCACCTGAATCGGCATCGGGGGTTTGCTTCTTCGTGTGTCGTCGACCAGAAATAAGCTTTTTCTATATCTGCTGTTACTGCTTCTACTATTGCGACAAACAACGGCAAGAATCTTGTTCGTTTTGTCGCGTTTATGCAACGTATGCTTCTAACATATGCATGTTGATCTAATATTTTTCCTTTAATCTAGCAATGATGATGACCCAACGTCCACCTCCATTTATTAATTCATTTTTATATGATCGATCAAAATTATTTTTTATCGTATTATCTGTATGAAATATAATAGTACCCTATTCAACAAATTTCTCAATACTATTAATAATAATAATAATAATTTAAGCAATAGCAACAACAAAAATACTAAGAAAGATAATAATATAACGGTGCCGCCTCCTACAACCACGTCTATTATCAATATGGCTGCTGTTACAAATAATATACCAATATCAAATTCAGTTGTAACATCTACTCGTTTCACTGATGAATATGATCTTAAAGAAGAACTTGGCAAGTGAGTCCTTATATAGATGCTTTTATTTATTGTTATTCTTTTCCCTTTTTTTTTGCTTTTTTTTCCCATTTCTCATATTTGATTGATGACGTAAATAAATGTAAAAAATATTGACTATCTCTCATGAGTCCAGTCCTAAATTGCAGCAACCATTTTGTCACCCTTGTTGCTACATTGTTGAACCTTCATAGAACGCCGCTACTCGCCTTCCTGATTAATCGCGCTTGTATGTCGCGGATATTATTTTTCTCTCGTTCTCTTCATCATCATCTCCAACATCGTCGTTCTTATTTTTCTCTCTCTCTCTTCCTTTTTTCATTCGTATTCTGACCTCATCTTTTACTACTAACACTAGTGACTGAGTACGAGGAAAAAAAGCTCACTGTAATATGTTCTCGTTCAAAACTTAGACTAAACGTATATTATTATAAATGAAAGAACGACAAGATCAGAAAGGAAAAAGTTATTATCATCAATACGACAGTTAGCTGGATAAAACAACTTCAATCAATTGTTTGAATATAGACTTTTGTTGTTATATTTTTATTATTATTATTTTTTTTTTTGTTAACTAACTGTTCATCCATGCAAGAGTGTTAATACGAATATAAAAAGAAAATGCGTTGGTGTTTTAGCCTATGGCAAGACAAAGAGAAATGTCGAAGAAAAATAAAAGAAAAAACAAAACTCACTCTAAATGAAAGAAAAGCGAGTGGAAAGAAAAAAGAATTCATTAATAATGGATTACAATCAATTACAATTCTATAACGAAAGAATGTATATTAATATTCTTTGTTCTTTTATCTTTTAAGAGGTGCATTTTCAATTGTAAGACGATGTATACAAAAAAGTTCTGGACAAGAATTTGCTGCAAAAATTATTAATACAAAAAAATTATCCACTCGAGGTAAAAAGAAAAAACAATAATAATAAAATTAGATCAATCATAAATATGAATTTTTTTCTTATAGATCATCAAAAACTCGAAAGAGAAGCTCGTATTTGTCGACAATTAAAACATCCTAATATTGGTAAGATTTTCTTGTCAACAAAGAAGAAAAAAAGAAAACATTTATTATTTTGTTTATTTAGTTCGTCTTCATGATAGTATTGCTGAAGAAGGTTTTCATTATTTAGTTTTCGATCTGTAAATTTATTTTTCTAGAATTTAAAAGAAAGATAATTTTTGAAACTTTTAGAGTTACCGGTGGTGAACTATTTGAAGATATTGTTGCTCGAGAATTTTACAGTGAAGCAGATGCCAGGTATTAAAAAAAAATCGACGAATCAGTTCTTTTTTTCTTTTTAGTATGTTGTATTTATTGTCATATTTGTTCTAGTCATTGTATTCAACAAATACTTGAAGCTGTACGGCATTGTCATGAAAATAATATTGTACATAGAGATTTAAAAGTATATTGATTTTTTGTTATGAATGATAAATATACTATTGTAATTGTTATTTTGTTCTATTTATTTAGCCGGAAAATCTTTTACTTGCTAGTAAAACAAAAGGTGCAGCTGTTAGTAAGTATTTTTTTTTGCAAAGAAAATAAAAACTGTATTTTAAGATTTTCAAGGTTATTAAGTTTTATTTCTTTTTTTTTCTTTCTTCTTTAATAAAAAAAAAAAAAGAAACAGAAAATTATGCAGGTTATTTCCGTCATAGGAAATGAACGGAGCTGTTTTCTTTTTCCTTTAATGTGATAGAATATGAAAAGTAATTTCATCTGGAAATCTACTTGTTTTTTTTTCTCAAGAGCTTGCCGATTTTGGTCTTGCCATTGAAGTCAATGGTGAACAAACACAGTGGTATGGTATGTATTAACAAAATGAAATATTTATTGAATAATGAATAATTGAATTGTGTTTTTTTAAATAGGTTTCGCTGGAACTCCTGGTTATCTTAGTCCTGAAGTACTTAAAAAAGAACCCTATGGTAAACCCGTCGATATATGGGCATGTGGTAAGTTATTTTCAATAAAATTTAATTGAGAAATAAATTCTTTTTTTTTTTTGATATATTAGGTGTTATTTTATATATTCTCCTTGTCGGTTATCCACCATTTTGGGATGAAGATCAACATCGTTTATATAATCAAATAAAAGCTGGCGCCTATGATGTAAGAATTTGAAAAAAATATTAAAGCGAATCATCATTTTTATATGTTTTTTATTCTGATTATCTATTTAGTATCCATCACCTGAATGGGATACAGTAACAACTGAAGCCAAACGTTTAATTGATTCAATGCTTAATATTAATCCAAGTCGACGTATTAGTGCAACTGATGCTCTTAAACATCCATGGATTTGTGTAAGTTATTTCAAAACATAATGATCATTTATAATGACTCTTCATGTTTTCATAAATTATATACATTTATGATTTATTTACTGGTTTTTGTTTGCTCAATGAATGAGAAATAGTTAGATGAGAGAGAAGAAAAGATGCTCATGGCGGGGCAGAGTAATCGAAACGACTATTCGACAGCAAAAGGAAACAAAAGCGTCAGAATAGAATGCATTATTGCATCTCATTCTCCCTTTTTGCTATGCGAAAGAAAATAAATCAGAGTCATCATTGATAGAAAAAGAGAGAGAGAGAGAAAAAAAAGACGAAGATGAAGACGAAGAGTCAAGCATTCTATTCTTGATTTGATTAAAATATACGAGAAAAACAGCCAAAAAAAACATCAAAGAAGCTATAAAAAAAAATATCTATATTTATTTTCTAGCAACGAGAACGCGTTGCTGGTACAATTCATCGACAAGAGACTGTTGATTGTTTACGTAAATTCAATGCACGACGAAAATTAAAGGTAATTAATCTTATTAAATGTAGCCTTAACATGACAGAAGAAAAAAGAAAAAGAAATATTGTATGTAATCATTTTCATTTTTCGAGCGTTTTTCTGTCTAATCATGTTTTTCGCCATACTTTGTTTACTCTGTATCATTGTATGCTATTCCATTTTTTTTTTTGAAAAACAACAGAAAATAAAAATTATTTTTAAATTTTCTTAAGGGAGCTATTTTATCAACAATGTTTGTCAATCGTACATTAATACCTAGTAAGTAAAATGAACCTAATAAACCCATATAAATATATATTTTGCATGTTATCTAACGACCTGCATATTCTTCAATGCTTTAAATATTGTGGTTCATCTATGTGTGCACTTGTGTGTGTGTGTGTGTGTGTATTTTCTTTGATCTAATGCGAATTCAATACCTTATCTAAATACCTTAATAATATCTTACTTTTCATATCTTCTTAATAGTTCAACAATTTGTCTAGTTTAGTTAAGTTTTTCTTTTCTCGTTAAATATCTATGTACTTTATTTAGAGGTGGATACGACCTCAAATTGAAAAATACATACATTTATCTACAAAGAATACATTGTGACATTGATTAAACTAAAATATAGACAGTATTTTTTGTTTCTTTCTTGAAAAAAAATATTTATCTAAACAAATTGATGAGTTTCTTCTTTTTCTTCGTTCTTTGTTTTTTAATAACTCAGAAAATAATATATTGTCTCTAAATGTTTTTTTTTCTTCTTTCCTGCATGATATACATATCTTGTTTATTTTACCTCATCTTAGACTTTCTGTATTTTTTTTCTTTTGCAATGATTTGTGTGTGTGTGTGTGTGTTTGTTTTCTTTTTTTTATTTGCCCTGCTCGATTTTAGTTTGTTTTTTTTTCGATCCTATCTACCTTGTGATTTCGGATATGTATTTGTGTGCATTGATTCTGTACGAAAAAAACAAATAAATGGTATGCATTTATATGGACAAAATAAAAAAAAACACGAGAATAAATGCATCTCATTGGAAATGACTGGATCAATTTTTAGATGCAGGTATATTTGCAACGGGAACTGCTGGAATACCATCAACAACTAATGGTAAAAAATCATCAACCGGTGTGGGAGCAATTTTACCGGCTACAAGTCCGATTAAATCAGCTTCTGCTAGTGGAGGTACGCGCGTGCATATATATTTATATATTTGAATGTGTTTCTTCCTTGACACCTGCTCAATTTTGTTATGTACGTAGTTTATAAAAGTAAAAAAAACACTGTTACCAAATTTTCTTTTATCGTTTTCTTACGTTATGTAATTTTTTCCAAATTGCTTTAACGTGCATATCTTTCTTGCTTGGATCGAATTATTTGAACAGTAGATTTTAGAATTAATTCCTTTGCTCTATATTTATTTTTGATTTTTGAAATTCATAATTTTTGTTTCTTTATTTTCAGGTAATCGTTCTCGACCAACAACTCAAAGTGGTAATAGTGGTATTAAAGAATCCGGCGATAGTAATAGTGCTACTATCGATGATACCAATGATATTGAACGGATTGATCGATTAAGTAAGTAGAATAAATACTTTATTGTTTATTGTATTCTTTAAACGAAATATAAAAAAAAGCCTATTAATATCCATAGCTGAAAAGAAGACAACATCATCCGTACCTAAAGCAGAAAAATTAAGTAAGCAAAAATCAAATGAAAAATGAGGTGCTATATTATTCTTGTTTACACGCCTATGATCACTTGTTAATTTTATTTTATATTAATAACACTGGGATAAAGAAATAAATTTTTTAATGCTTATCTTTTTCTTAAAATAGTATATGAATATATGTTTTATTTATGTCTAGGTTTAGAAATAACTAAAGTAACAGAACAATTATTACAAGCCATTGCAAATAGTGACTATGAAATGTATAAGTAAGTAAAATAAAAAAAAAAGAAAAGGTTTCTTTTGAACTAAATTTATATATGAATTTCTATTATTTTTTTCAGATCATTATGCGATCCAAAAATAACTTGTTTTGAACCTGAAACTATAGGAAATCTTGTTGAAGGTCTTGATTTTCATAAATTTTATTTTGATACAGGTATGTTTAAAAATACTTACAAGTCAAAATGAATTTTAGCGATTCAAATAGAAACCCCATTCTTCCTTTTGTCTTTTGTGTATTTTTTCTATGATTCCCGAATTTTTTTTCAGGAAGATTTACTCGTTCTGATACAGGTAACTAGATATGTATATATCGTATTTGTTATGAAGTAGCTTTTTCTTTTAAATATATTTTTATTAGTTCTTTTTACTGTTGATTGATATTTTTGTATTTTGTAAGAATGTGAAAATTTAATATTCTTTTCGTTTTTAGTCTTATCGGTAAAAGCAAATAAACCAACAATTAATTGTACAATGTTAACACCAGTTGTACATACATTGGGAGATGAATCAGCTTGTATAGCTTATATTTTACTTCTTCAATATATTGATCGGTATGAAAAATAAAATTAAGATTTTCTTTTTTTTTTAAGTATTTCGAATTGTTCTTTTTTTTTTTTTTTCTCTTAGAAATGGTCAACCACAAAGTGTTCGAACAGAAGAAACTCGTGTATGGCATAAAAAAGATACTCGCTGGCAATGTGTTCATTTTCATCGTTCTGGTATGCCAGTTGCTGCAGCGATAAAATCTTCATTTTCAAGTACATTATTATAAAAATAAAACTAAAGAAAAATAAAACAAACCTATTCTAGCTGTTGTTGCTCATTTATTTATCTATCATAGTTTTATGCGAGAGTATGTGATGACACATTTTTCTTCTGTTCACGAGTTATTATTTCAGTTTTGTTTTTTTTTGTGTACCCTTTTCGTTTTTTTTGAATATTTCATTCCTTTCTATGTTGTCTTATTATTAAACCTCATCTTCTTTTGTGCCTATGTGACATTGAATTTTATTGTTTTCTTTTTCTTTTTTTGTGAAATTCTTTTTTTTTTTTTTTTTTGGGAGGCAAGAAAGATAAATTTCATTCGATTTGAAGTTTTTCTCTCTTTAATTAAAAAGAAATATATATATATATAAATATAGGAAAAAAATATTTCATTTGATTTTTTTTTTCTTTTCAGTTAATTGATCAGTATCTGTTTGTTGTTGTTTGCTCATAACCTCTTCTTTTTCCTTCTTGCTCGTTTTGTTTGGCTTATTATTTGTCCTAGTTTATTCTTTTAATGGGTCGATGATGATAAAGAAGTTTTTTCTGTCAACAAAGAATAAAATAAAAAGGTTATGAAGCGAATATTTTTTTAATTGGAATCGAAGTGACATTACTTCCGGTATTGAGTTCTTGCCATAAGACAAATTATATATGCTATTTAGAAGTATTAGATGGTACTTGAGAAGAAAATAAATTGATGTTGAAGTAATAGGATGTAAGATGAAGACATCAAAATTATATTTTGGAACCTAAAGATTAGTAGGTTGTGTTATTTTTATGTTAGCTGAATAAAACATATCATTAAATAGAAAAGCTTTAAAAAAATGCTAGCTGATGCAGTAATAATGAATGATAAATGATAGAAATAGTCTTTTTTTTCTAGAAGTGAAAGTGGAACGAAGTGAAGATGTACATATTCAAAATAAAAATAAACTCTGTTTGATGTTTAAAAATGAATATGAATTCTATATTCACGAAAACTCGATTAATTTCTCATGATTTGTCTTTCAATATCCAATTCAATTACTATATAATGCTCAAAAACAAACTTTTTATTGTCAAAAACTAACGTCCTCTACAAATTTCAGCATACTTAGTTAAAATAAAACTATAACTTGTTATTAAAATCTTTTAAAACAATTTACTTACTATATTCATTCTCAATAATCAAATTAACTAAAAATTTTGATCGTTTTACAAAAAAAAAACCTAATAAAATTATTATCTGTCAATCAAACGAAATTTTAAAAATTTTAATTTACTTAAAATTTATATTCTTCATGCTCACAAAATGAGAAGGAGCTGTTCATTTTCATTCTCGTTGTACTTTATCACAAAATACCTTTATATCAAACAAAAGATTCTCGTGTAGTAATCGCTATTTACTTATGATTTGCAGTTATTGTTAACTAAAAAGAATTAGTCAAGAAATATTTATTATTAAAAACCAACAGTAAATGAAAAATAGAAATAATATCATTAATAACTTCAATATTAAATATTCATTTAAATATTGAACAAAATTTAATAATTAATTCGTCACAAGTATTTTCATCATTCTAAACTTTAACAAATCAATCTTAAACAAGTTGAAAATGCACAAATTCATATTCGATTAATTTTTAAATAAAAATCAAACAATTTCGTTTCCAATCGTAATCAAACTCAATATTTTTTTTTATCAAAGTAAAAAATCTTTATAATTTTCAAACCTATTCACCTCTATGGTGAATTTTTTATGTGAATTATTTCTCTTAATCTTTTCTTTATTTAAAAATTAGATGACGAAGAAAATTCTAGATTTTCTTCAAAAGCACAGATTGATAAGTGTTTGCATGAAAAATGATAAACTAGAAAAAAAAACAACGCATAGTATAACTTGATTTTGTCATACAACATTGAGAAAATCTTGTACTCTCTCATCAATAATTTGCTTCAAGAAAAGGTTTAATCTAATGAGCGTCTAGATAAGAAAAAAAAAAGGTGAAAAAGATCAGGTAAGGAAAACAAAATTATTGATTGTTGAATTTTCTTTTAGAATATTCGATAAGGATAGGACTTCTTCACCATCGATTTCAATTCAGGAGAGATTAACATAAATATTTGTTTTTGTTGGAAATGATCTTTTTTAATGACAGTTTTCTTCTCATTCATACTGATAAATATGTTAGTCAAAATGAAGAGGAAATAAACTGATTTATAGTGGTTTCTAGTAATAGAAATCCGTTTGCTTCCTCTTAGTGTAAAGTGAAAATTGAGTTTTTCACATTTAAATATTTTGTATTATTTGAATATTTTTATTAAATACACAAAAAAATCTATTTGACAGATAACAACTTCTCATACATGATGATATGGAGTTCTTTCTAGAGAAATATTTTACTAATCTTTGAATAAGATATTTCATTTAAATAATAGTTAATGTATTATTGCAAAAGGAAAATAATCTTGTAAAAGTTTGAAATAATGTTTTTCTCCACATAAATAAGTTTCATTTATTTTGGTACAATTATTTTCGTGTATCATCTCTTGTAAAATTGTGTGTTACTCTTTCTAATGATTTATAATTGACATAAAGAAGAGTATTATTATGGAAATATTTTTTTTAAATTAAATAAAAATTCTTCTATATACTCATCATGAACTTCTGAAATATCAAGTTTAATAAGATAATTATATTTAATCAATTGATGAATTGTGATTATGATTTATTGGTTTTATAAGATTGTTTCTGTTTTTGTGATTGATGATTAATCAAAGTTAAATTTTCCATAAATGGAAATGATTGAGAAATTCGAATAAAAAATTCATGTTCAAAAGGAACGTATTGAAATAATCCACCTGAAAAATGATTTGTTATCTTTTGATAATATTGCATTTCAGATGGATATGAATAAATATAACATTGACTTAATCGTTTTTCATGAAAATAATTAACATAAGATATTATATTAGTATATTGAAAATCTATGAATGTTCGTTGAATATTGAAATATAAATTAGAAAAATTCTTTCATATATTCAATGACCTATTCAACTGTATTAATAATTTCAGTAAAAATATTTGTATTCATTTTAAGAAATTTTTCATTTGTTTAGAATTAAAAGAATTCTATTTAGATTTTCTTACCGGTAAAAAGATGTCTAGCTGTCCTTTCTTTTATATTATATAGGCCGAATCCATAGAAGTTAGAATAATCTGCAGCACATAGAATATGTTTTACAGATGATGATTCAAGATAGAATCATTTGATGTTCTTAGATATATCAGATAAAATTTGTAAACAAAATCACTCAAGTATGACATTAGAAGAAAATTTATTAAGAAATTTATTCGATGACTATTTGACAAAGTTCAGACTATTTGTGAATATAGGATCACGTATAATTTTATTCAATCATTGATTAACACCATGGAAAGAATAAAATACATCAAAATTGTCCAATTTTTCAAAAATAATTAGAGGAATTTCATCGGTTAAGTCATTCAATTCGACACATGAACATTGCATATTTATCTTCAATTATTTATTTGTTTTATCCGAGAAAAGTCGATGTTTATATAAGTTCAAATACACTAGACAAATAAAACTAAATTAACAAACGTGATTGGTGTTCGTACTTGGAAACAATGATCATATTTCTTAATTAATATTGTAATTCGTCGTTTATTTCAGAATATACTCATTCAATTTGACCGATGTCGTCAAGAAGAACAACAATAATGCATTTCTCAATAGTTGAAATTGTCAGTGATTTAATGAGTTTTGCGGTTGGAAAAATGTTATGATTTGTTGAACATGTCCTACGATGAAGATGAACAGTCCTCAATTTAGTCTTATGTGATAATCTTTTCTTTTGTTTCTTTGTAATAACTCATAAATATATTTAATATAGAAAAGAATATAAAGTACATCATAATCTATGTACGTACTTTCTATGACGAAGTGCAGTATGAATATATATAAAGAGTCAAGTTCTTTACGTAGGATATCTTAGGCCAGAATTCGAGTATTTCTCTGCACGATTCGCACTAAAGCCAATTCTAACTAGGCCAATGTTGGTTCCAAGTAGATTTTAATTAAATCTCTCGATTCTACTATTTTTCTCCCGGAAAAAACCTTCTTTCTCATTAAAACCTCCATTTTACTACTAAAAAACCGAATAAAAATGAATAATCCATCGTGATTCGCTCTGGTGCCGATTCGAACTGTACCGTTCAGGGTTCCCGATAGAGCTAGACGAGCTCTATTGATTCCATATCTTATTAGCTAGATTCCAGCAAGTCATTAATTAGAAGACGTTAATTAGTCGCTTATTTATTAATTATTTTTCGGAAAATTCGTCACGATTCAATCCAAAGCTGATTGCAAGAAAACAAATGATGGTTCCTGATAGAGCTTGACGACCTGTATCGATTCCATATCGTATGAGCCAGATTCCAACGAGTGCTCAATTATACCAAGCCTGATTGATATTAGTCCTTTAATTATTAATTATTTATTACAAACTTAAAATGATAATATGTAGCACAATCAGAATTCATGTGGTCTATGTTGTTGGAATCTTTCGACTTACTTTGAATTCCTATAGTACTTGTTTTAAATTACTGTTTTCGAAAAGTTCGATGAGTAAGTGTTTCGATTAATATCTTTTGGACTGCATAGCGATGTGCGTCACCTTTCGTTATTTTATGATTATTGGGTAAAAGAAATGAACAAATTAATGAAGATTTATTTGTGTAGCTTATCTCAACCAACACTGCTGCTCTTTTGTTTTCTTATCTATCTATCGAACAACTATATATCAACATTTAAAACTCAAAACTATTGCCTTTTCTTTTTGTTTCAGATAGGAATGTTTACTCAGTATTTGGTGCTTTTTGTCGCTAGCACGTTAACATTAACATTAGCAAATGATGATCCATCATTGCAACGATTTCGTGGTCATGTTTTAAAAAACAATGGAAAATATGAAATAACAACCGCATTAGCAAATTCTTATAAAGAACCTAATATAAATTTAAATTATATCTTAGCAACTGGATTTTGGGATCAAACTTATAATACAACTGGTTGGTCTGTATTAGAAATAAAAGCATCAGATAATCAAACAAATATTGATCAAGTTTATTCAGTTGGACTACTTGAAGGACAATTTACACGAGGTTAAAATTTAATTTTTTTTTTCAAAAATAAATTCAAATGTGATTATTAATCGTCTTTTCTTTTGTTTCGTATAGAATTAACTGGTATGCAATGGCAAAATAGCATTAATGATATTTGTGCTAATAAAACAGAATTTTGTAATTATCTTAAACAATTTTTTCAAATTCAACTTGATTGGATGTATACACAAATTGATAGTTATCCTGATGATGAATATTGGCATCAAGTATTTAAAAAAAATGGATCTATTTTTAAAGACTTTTAATTTATTTAGGTAAATTTACTTCTTGTTCAACTAAATGGTCTCATTGATGGAAATCAAAATAAACCACGTGGGCCAAGAAAAGAACTTGATGACCCACTTGGATTCTTGTAAACAAATACATTTTTTTTGTTTTTTCCTAATCTTCTCGGTAACCTTTGTTTTTTTTCCGATTTCAATAGTCTATTTCAAGTAGTTGAATCTGTTGGAGATCTAGCTGATCGTCTAAATATATCAGACGTTGAACGACATGATAGTTGTTCAGCATTAATTAAAGTAAAGCAAAAACTTAAAAAAAAAAGAACTATTCCTTTATTAAACAAAAATATTTCATTTAGATTTTACCAAATAATAGTGATATATTTGTATCACATGCTGATTGGAGTAATTATAAAACTATGTTAAAAGTAATCAAACGTTATATAATGCCATTAAAACGATCATCAGCTGCAGGAAGTCAGATGAATAAATTTTTGTTCATGTTTTTTTTTATTGTTTTCTTTTTCATTTATTTAGGTCCTATTATTCCAGGTGCTGACATGGTTTTTTCATCTTATCCAGGAACACTTCATTCAGTTGGTTAGTTTTTTGTTATTCATGTAGAAAAAAAAATCTATTTTCTTTTTCTATGCAGATGATTTTTATATGACACGTTCAGCTCAAATGACAATAATCGAAACAACTATTGTTAATAGTAATCCAAATTTATTACATAATATAATTCCAATATCTGTACCCGAATGGATTCGTGTTGTTGTTGCTAATCGTTTAGCTAATTCTGGTCGTGAATGGATTGATAAATTTTTTCTTTATAATGATGGAACATATAATAATCAATGGATGATTGCTGATTTTAAACGGTTTACACCAGGACAATCACCAAAATCAGAGTAATATTTGAATAAAAGACAAAAAAAAGAAAAGAAAACAAAATTTTAAATTGAATTTCGTTTAGATTTTTAATGGTTGCTGAACAATTAGTAACTGATTTTGAATCACAAGATATGACAGATACATTAATTAATAATACATATTGGGCATCATATAATAATGTTTATTTTCCACGTTTTCGAAATTTATCAGGTGAAGAAGCAATGGTACATGAAAAAGGACCAGAATTATATTCATGGAAAAATTCATCACGAGCAAGAATATTTGAACGTGATCATATAAAAGTTGTTGATCTTCCAACTATGATTCATATGATGAGGTTAATTGAAATTGTTTTTCTTTTCGTGATTTAAAAACTCAAAAAAAAAAAAAATTTATTCATTTCAACAAATAGATATAATGATTTTCAACATGATCCTTTATCAGCATGTAACTGTACTCCACCATATTCATCAGAATTAACAATTGCTGCACGATGTGATCTTAATCCAATTAATGGAACTTATCCAGATTCACCATTAGGACATCGTGTTCATGGTGCAACAGATGCTAAAGTAAGAATTAATATTGACGAAGAATTTTTTTTTTTTTTTGTGTTGAGATAATAGATGAAAAAGTAGAAGAATATGATGAAATTACTTATGAACCAAATTCCTATCAAGTCGAATGTAGAATAGCATAATAATTGATTTTATTATTCTATCTTTCGATTCATATGTCACCATGCATTGTTAATGGACGTCTCGTAAAGTCTACAAATATTTATGTGTTAAAATAATATGTTTATGTTAGCTCGTATCATAGATGTTCATGGCGGCGCTTTCGCCGTCGCGCCTTTGTTAGGCAGATTGTATAGTTGCATGAATTCACATCCTATTTGAGAATCTGAAAGTCCAACAATCAGAATCATGGCAAATCTGATGAATTCAATCAAATATATTTAATTTAGTATAGTGACGAAAGAGATTTTCGAAGAGGTTTGTGAAAATCATTGCGACAATGGCAGATTCTCAGCCACAATGGATATCTGTAGTTTTTATGATCTAACACTATTGAAAAACTTAGTTATGTCGATATATGACAGTGTTTTTGAAACGTTAATCTTTTCGGCAAACCTTTTGAATAGTCTGATTACTTTGCATTCGAGTGAAATCAGTAGAAGTATATTTGAAGTATTTTTTTTTTGTCAATAGAACTATTTTATGAATTATCTATTCTTTCCTTTAAAGATTACTAACTATGCAATGATGCAAAACTTTACGCTTGTGGCTATTGCTGGTCCAACATCAGATAATCAACCACCATTCGTTTGGAGTGAATCAGATTTCAATACACAAGTATCACATGTTGGTCATCCAGATAAATGGAATTTTGGACCATTCACACCAACATGGATGGTATTGTGAAATATTTTTGTGATAAACACGAATGACTTTTTTTTTTGTCAAAAATCAAGAATACAAGAATGTGACTTTATTTTCTCTTTGTAAGCCATTTTTTTATAATAACCAAAAAAAAAATAATAATAAAGACTGATAAAGTATTTCATTTGTTTGTTATCTAAAAGAGAAACCTAACGAAGTGTTTTTCTTTCTTGTTATGAATCTTATGGATGTAGAGCAATGATGAGTTTTCGAGATAAGTATAAAAAGTAGAGAGAGATTTAACAACTAGCTTGTAAAATTACTTACAATAAAAAGTCTAACAAATATCTTTCTCATAAAACTCGTTTTAATCGCTATTATGGCTTTGATGCCATTTAAAATAAGTTCATACTCAACAGGCTCATTTTATTCATCTCATCGAGGGTTGCAAAATGCTATACGCATACTCTCCTTCTATACACATCATTCAATAGCAAAATTATATTTAAATATAAAAAGTACTTGTACTTGTCATTTGAAGCAGTTGTTTTTTATTTTTTTGCTTATATATATCATTATGTACAGCGGAAGCCGACGAACTCAATGACTCTATTGAGTTGGTAATTCATACAAGATTATGGATAGTGCACGTCAAATATAATACAAGTAGTTTTGCTAGAGTATTATTCATATCTCTTTTTTTGGTTCTTCTAAAGGAATCCGTCGAAAGTCTCTTAAAATACACCTCTGACTCTTTCGTGCTTTAGAATACGAAAATTTTCTTTTGCAAAACGTTGCTATTAACAAAAACTGATAGCATACGTCATTTAGCGTCCTCTATTCATTGTAAAAAAAATTCATTCTCCTGCAGCAAAGGGAAATTTCATTATAAAGGCATTCTTATTAAATTTATGATATCTTCTTAGTTTTCAATAATATTTAATCTCTTGATCAGAGTCGGTTACTAGGTAATAATTTGGCCATGTTTATCAAGAAGAAAAAAAAAGAGAAATAAATAATCGTCGTTGTCGTTGTCGTCTATCGACATTGTGTTTCCAAGTGATTGAGGTACCTATGACGACCTTACTTCTCACAAACGTTCTCATTTTCTCAATATTATTCATTTATTCTTTTTAAGATATGTTCAAAAATACATTTCAAAGCGGCTTTCTTTCGATACTATACAGTATCGGTAGTAAACCATTACAGATTTGGGATAAAAAAGTATGTTTCTTTTTATTATTATTATTATTGTTTTTTTTTTCTTTTTTGTTGTTAAAAAAATAAAATACATTAATATCTATTTAGGTACGTAATGGACATATCAAAAGAATAACAGATAATGAAATTCAATCACTTGTTTTGGAAATCGTTGGTACTAATGTTAGTACAACATATATAACATGTCCAGCTGATCCAAAAAAAACACTTGGCATTAAATTACCATTTCTAGTTATGATTATAAAAAATTTAAAAAAATATTTTACATTTGAAGTACAAGTAAGAAAAAAAATAATTAAGTGTAACTAGTAAAATTTATTTTGTTTTTCATTATTTAATCAAAAAAACAAAAAAAGGTTCTTGATGATCGAAATGTTCGTCGACGTTTTCGTGCTAGTAATTATCAATCAACAACACGTGTAAAACCATTTATATGTACAATGCCAATGCGTTTGGATGATGGATGGAATCAAATTCAATTTAATTTATCGGATTTTACACGACGTGCTTATGGTACCAATTATATTGAAACCCTTCGAGTTCAAGTATATTGATATTTATTAAAGAGTTACTTCTTTTATTTTATAAAGTCCTCCCTTTTTTTTTTAAATTTTATAGATTCATGCTAATTGTCGTATTCGACGTGTTTACTTTTCGGATCGACTCTATTCGGAAGATGAATTACCACCGGAATTTAAATTATATTTACCGGTATGTTTCAATGAAAAATATTCTTATTTTTTTACAAGAAAAACAAATTTATGTATGTCTCTTTTTTTTTTTCATTTATTTAGGTTCAAAAGAAATAATCGATTATATTAAATACATTTCTTTATTCTTCGTTCTATTTTTTTTTTCATAGACAAAAAAATAAAAATCTATATGATCAGAATATCATGATTATTCACTGTGTATGAACAACTATGTATAGTCATGATTTTGACTTTTTCTTTTTCTTCTTTTTTTAAAATGTAATGTCAACAGTTTTTCTATATATCTGTTCGAATTTTTACATATATTATTCCTTCAAGCACGAAAGAAAACATATAGTCTATGGTTTATTCGAAAATAATTTTTCTATTCATTTTTGTTATTCGATATTATTGATATATAAATCAATGAAGCTTTTCTAGTTTAAACAATTTAAATCGAGTCATTTGTTATTTTTTTTTTAACATGAAGTTTTTCGTCTGTAGGATTTATTCATGATATTTATTCAGAGTAAATATTTAATTATATCAAAAAATTATTATCTATGACCATGTCAACTTAGAATCTTATCAATATGGAGTATTCTTTTTGAATGTTTTGTAATGTGAATAATTTTTCATTTTGATGAAAGTTATTAAGAAAGATATTACAACTTTATTACAATTCTGAAAAGATACATTCTGTAAGTGACTGTATGATTATAGTCAATTGTGAAAAGAAAATTTAACATTGTCAAACATAGAGCTGTCAAATAAAAGCAATATTGATTATGATGGCGATTGTTTATGCTGAAGATTCATGTTCATATTCGTAATAAGAAAAAACTGATAATTATTTCCAAGTCGTTGCATTTCCTGTAAACTATCAAAGATTGAAATTTCCTTTTGATGATGATTTTTCTTGCTTGGCTAAATCTATTCGAACGTTAGTTTACACATCTCTGCTTGATATTAGGTTTTGTAAGAGCAGAACTAATTGAATCTACTATGACGAACTTATGATGCGAAAAAAGAACTCGTTTTTGTTTTAAATGTGTTCGGTTTTTTTTTATGCTACATATACGCTTAGGAGTATTCTCTATCGACTATACCTATTCCTGTACCAAATGAAGAGAGACAAAAAGAAACCAAAGCACGCCGATAATCCAAATAGCGTTAGTATCTGTAGAAGAATTCGGGTCCTAATAGACGTTTTATAGCTGAGATGGTGGTAGGAGAACGATAAGGAAAGCGAATTAAATAGCCTATATTTAAATAGGCAACAAAGAGTTATAGATATGAAGACACACATATCAAGAAATGAACTATAACAAATAAGAAATCGACACAGAAAAATAAAGTCTTCGACAAAGAACAATTTATTTACTCAAAGAATAACAGATTAAAGCGACACTCCTGTAATTAACGAAAACTAGTAGTGTTAAATAATGACCAAATTAATCAAGAAAAAGTGATCAATACTGAGGTGTGGGAGAGTGTCGGTGTATGCGTGGTTGTGTGATTCATGTAGACATCAAATCCAACACTTACATTCGCACCCACGCTCAAACTAAAGAAATATGTTTCTTTTCGCGTAACTCATGCTATTATTGCTGTTGCTTACATCTATTTTTCTTGGAATTGATTAAAGAAGTATAGAGAGATATAACTTTTACTTTATAACATGCTTTTTGTTAATCAAGTTAAATGTTTTTTATGGTATATGAACTTGTCGACTCGAAGTTAAATAGAATTTCATTTAATGAATGCATTTTATAGAGCAATAATTCCTATTACTTTCACATAAAACACTAGTACGATATGGAAAAAAAACGAATTTAATAACTTTTCTCCTCAAAAGCTTCAATCAGATGTACTAATATATTTCTCTGGTTCTAGATCGAAAATTCTACCATTATTATTTGTAATAATATTCTATTCTATTTTTTTGTAATATGTGTTCATTTATAAAACAATAATCACTTAGTAGTCAAAATCATTTTTCATGCTTTTTTTTCTCGCTTTTTGCTTTTTTTAGAAATATCTAAGAATAACAAGAACGCAGAAAATAAAAAATGGTAAGAAAAATCTCAGATAAAACTCATTGTACGGTAAAGGTAAATGTGTACATGATGTGTTGCTATACATTAGTAAATATATATAGAAGTTTGAATTAGATAAATTTCTCTTCCTATTATATTCTTTTCAATATCATTATAAGAATTTTTGAAAACAAACTTCTTTGTATCAGCAACTAGCTAAAATCGATGATTTATAATAATGCTGCAGCGTGATGTTCATTGTATTTACTGATATAATCATATTATTTATTTTTCAATCACAAACCTTATACGAAGGGTGTGGGTGGAGTGTTTTTGTGGGTGTGGATGTAGAATATAGATGTACAGAGAAATCAACACCCACACCCACACCCTCTTCTCGTCTTTACACATTCCTTTCAGTTATGTTCACAAACAAAGTGAAACTTGTAAAAATGATAGTGGTTATTAAATCTACTTCAATTCCCTCTAACTCTATTACGATTTTATTGCTGTGTAATAATGTATATTTTGATATTCCGTATCTTAACTGTAATCTAGTATAAAAAAAAGCTACTCTCAAAATCGAGAAATATTAATACTCTTACACAATTGTCTTTCATTCGAAGGATAGATCTTCGAAACTAAAAAAGTAATAGTATACAGGGTGTCCCATAAGTAACAAGACAAGGAAAAAAAGTTTGAATATCTCCATTAGGGCTCGACCAAATGGGCTCAATTTTTTATCAAGGATAGAGGCATCTGCACACTCCAAATCCATACGAACAAGGTGAATGAGAACCTTTGTTAAGTATCGCTAGTGACCTCAACAATAAAATTTTTGCTTTGTCACTGGTAAGAAAAAACCAATATACAGGATAGTGCAAAAGTCACTTTATCGAAAAGAAAATTAAATATTTCCATTACGGCTCGAGCAACCGAGCTGATTTTTTTACCAAAAATAGAGGCATGCTTATACTTCAAATCCATACAGACAAGCTTAGTGAGGACCTTTGTTAAGTATATTTTTTTATTTTCCTGTCTGTGAAAAAGTAAAAATTTTATTGTTGAGGTCAATAGTGATACTTAACAAAGGTTCTCATTCACCTTGTTCGTATGGATTTGGAGTGTGCAGATGCCTCTATCCTTGATAAAAAATTGAGCCCATTTGGTCGAGCCCTAATGGAGATATTCAAACTTTTTTTCCTTGTCTTGTTACTTATGGGACACCCTGTATACTGTAGTATCAGCTGTATATTTTCAGACGAATTCATGATTTCTGAAGCATGTACCTTAGCATGCCTTTTTTATGTGATATCCGAAATAACGAAATGATCAATTCTAATATTGAATAAGATCCTTCACATTTGATATAATATAGGAAATTTGATATTCATCACTATTTGTTCGAATTTGTGAAAGGAATTGAATACACATAAAAATCAACACAATACATGTCATTGATAGTTTGTTGGGTATATTTTACAAAACAATATTGCAATATCTACAGAATATGCTGAATAACAATATTGATTGATGTAAATGACGAAGAGAATTTTATTTTATCTTATAGAAACTATTATCAGATATTACGAAGATTTTTCCTCAACAACAACAAAAATGATTAAGATAGAAGAATGAAACAAAGTTTCATAAGTATAACTATTTGAATATCTGAAATGTACTTCAACTGAAAGTGAATTCTCATAGCAAAACATGATCTTTTGGATTTTGATATTTAGTTCAATCAATTAGTTTTGGTAATGAAACCAGAATTTTCCATAAAAAAATCTTGAGTTTATAAACGTACTTGTCTTGGATTTTCATATCAAGATGAACAATATGAGACATTATCTTTCGATTCATTGATAAATTTTGCACTCGAAAGATTATCAACATAAAGCTTCAAAGCAATTTCGCGAAGTATATTTAGAAACCTCTTTCTGTATTTTTTCCTACAAAAAATTTCAAAATCTGTTATAAAAAATAAGGCAATAACTAATAATAATTTTCTATAGCTACTATTCGCATCTTTTTTCTTTTGAAGTTTGAATTGAAAAACAATGATAAAATGTGAATTTGAATTTAAGTCTGTGTTTCCTGTTTCTTCAATGTGAATCTATTCGTGTAATGTCTACTAACAGAGATCGGCGAATATACAGTGACAGCAATCATCTCCTGATTCTATGGTTCTTCCTATCATCAAATAACAGGTACACGAGATATGAATTGTCTTTATATATTATAATTTAATATCTAGAGAAATGAATGCAATCATCAATCACATATGGTATTAAAAACAAATACAATTGAACTGCTATGTGTACTTACGAAAAACATAACCTGCTCCTGTTGCATTTTCAATTAGTTTTCTCAAATAATTCAATTCGTTGACGAACGACACATTCATAAGTTAGTAAAAGCAGTTTACTGTATTGTTGGAATAGTAGTATAGTGCTCTTGAGAATAATAAAAATGATCGAGAAAATTAGATATCTCAATCTTAGTTTTTTTCAGTTAGAAACCTATCTGTTCATCATCGATCGATATTTTGTCTGGAGGTTTCAAACAATATTAATTCTAATGAAAAACGTTTGATTGCTAAAATTTAAGTGTAATTTTTGATATTCATCGATAATCGATAGTTAAGGATTACCAAAAAATTAAATTTAACAACCATACATCATATGAGTATTGTTGCTTCCCTGAGTGAAACGCACATTTCATTACACTAATTATTTATATTGTTTCCTAAGAACTGGTATGATTGTTTCTCTTAATATTTATGAAACTCCTTTTCTTTAAAATCTTAACTTGAATACTATTTCAATTTAAACTATTACATAAGGAAAATTTTTCTATTTTTTGGTTTGACCGAAATTTCTTTTATTGTCTGAAGTATTTTAGAAAAAATGCCGTGATCTAATACATCATATATAAGAGAATGTTAAATAAAAATCACGAATTCTAAAAACTCATTTTTGCAACAAGAACGTTTTTTGTTGGGACTACATGATCTTTTTTTATTTTGTTGAATTTATTGATAGATATATACGGCGAACATAGTGATAGAAAGAGTTGTTTAAAAATTTCAAAAGAAAGAGCCGATTATAGACGCAAACAAAATTTTCTGCTTCTTTGAAATACAATTTTCAAAAAGAATCATTATTAGTGTTGATGTAAATATATATCTGCTATCATCATGAGTATATTAAAGAAAAGGAAATGGATACTTGAATCTATATTCAATTCTATAAAAGATATCCACATATTTGAACTTGTCCTGCCTGTCTTCACTACAGTCCGAACAAAATTAAGTTATGATTAATCTATTCGTTGAATAAGTTCTTTTACTGGTTGAAAAATCTTTTTTGTTTTTGTGTTTCGGTTTTTTCGAATGTCATAATTCAATCAAATTCATTTTCGAAAAGAGATTAAAAAATAAAGCGCCATAATATGAAAACAAATAAAAAGCAATGAAACTAACTCTCATCAAAACGACACAAAAGGTATTTATTGAAAAACAAAGCAAAAACATACATTCTTTTTCTTTTGTTTCGTTTATCATCGATTTCTCAAGGATGTTTTATATTCTTGATGTACGAAAACTTTCTTTTATTTTATTAGAGACTAAAAAACAAAATTTTATCTTTCACACAAGAATTCAGTATTCATTCATAATAGAAATATAAGTTAGTTAAATAGTTTCTTTTCATAAGAAAACTCAAAACAACGAAAACAAAAAGAAATAAAACTTCAGAGAACACACGGTGTAAATTTTCTCAGCTACGTTTCGAGATATTCTATTTATATATATATCGTCAAGGAAAATAAATATATCTTTATTTCATCTTAAGTTTATCTGAATGAAATAGATACAAAATAAAATTTAATTTTTTATTCAGAAGATAAAATGACGTTATTTCTTCTTTGAAATCAAATAAGAAATTGAAAAATGATTCAACAAAAAAGAAAATTATTTTATCATTTTCCTTTTGTTCGCGTGCAAAAAGTAGTCATAGCAGTATCATCATCGCAGAGTCTAACTCATGTCAACTCCAAAATCAAAAACATGTAAGTGTAAACTCAATAACTTGACAACAACAATAGTCAGTGGTTTGCACCTTTGACAACAATTGAACGAAGAGAACTCTATCAGAAGTCTTTTTGTCTGATACTATGAAAGTGAAAATTATTCTTAAGTCTATTCTCCTCGTGAAACATTCAAACACATACATGAAAATATTGTTTCATTTCAAGTAAATTTTGATGAAAAAAAATTCGTGAGAAGTTATCCATCTGAATTGTATCTAGAACTGTAAACGTGAAGCACATATCGAAATCGCGCTTACATCAAAATGAAACATTGTTCTACTTTTTTCTGCAGCCTTTATGAAAACGATCTGTTTTTAAAAATCATCTTATAGTACATAGTATCAGATAAAAAGACGTCCGATAGAGTACTCCTTTTGTAACTGTTGAAATTTGAAGATTACTAGCTGTTTCTATTGTCGAGTTATAGAAAATATAGCAACGGTTCGTTCGTTCTCAGACACACATTATTTAATAGGTTTCAGTCAAAAATTTAAACACCATTGTTGATTATAGTCAACAAGAGTCAAGATTGAATTTTACAGTGCCGAATTTGATTATCTAACTAATGAGTATTTTACATATATTTCAATAAAATGATCATTCTATTTTTTCAATTAACATTTTATTATTCATTCTCTCTCGAACAAAAAAACCACCTTTTTCCATTTCATTTTTGCAACACTTAATGCATTGTTTTAAAAAAACAAAATATACCACAACATGCAGCGTGCAAAATTGTACAATTTACATAGAACAGATTAGTGAAATAAGAAGAAAGGATTTCTCATTGATGTAGAAAAAATGATCCTTTCGCAGCGTCGAAAATTGATCGCACCGAGTTTTGGTTTTTTGAAAACGAAAAGTATATAATTGAAATAAGCTTTACTTTGTAGATTGTACAGTTTTTCATGCTGTATCTTGTGGTATATTTTCTTTGTTTAAAACAATGCATTAAGCGTTGCAAAAATGAAATGGAAAAAAGGTAGTTTTTATTGTCCGACGGACATTCAAGATAAAAACACAAACGAATTGAACCTGAAATGTTTTAAGACGACTAAGATATCGTGATCTCGACTTTTCATTGCTTAACAAACACCGATAATTATCGTGTACTGCGTATTCTCTCTCCATAACGTCGACGTCGTCTTTTATCGCGGCTTTTCGTTTCATACCTTTACTTCCTTCCGTTTCTGCTTCCTCTCATTCTTCATAACAGAAGAGCAAACATTCTTCTACGTATGAAGCTTTAGGATGTGGCTCTAAAACAAAATTAACCTCCCCAGGGATATCCGACGTTCTACTGGCCTTCACAACATACATCTATGTATGTATGACTAGAAGCGTCCATCTCGTCATCGTCTTTTCAGAGACGATAACCATGGTCGTACTAGTCATACATACTTAGAAGTATGTTTGCCTAACCATGACCGGCTTTGTTCACTATATGAACCAGCAGAATAGGGAGGCTATCCCTGGTCGCGCATGCGTGCCATTTGCAGCTGCTGCACTACGGCGAGCCAATCTTCGAAGAGGGCCAATTTATTTTGTTTTAAGAAACAAAATTACAATTTCTTTTTTTTACTTTTTCAATGTTTATTTTCGATTGTGCGATATCCGGGTGACTTGAAGGAAGTGATGTTTGTCGTATTTCTAGTCCTTTTTGCAGATATGATAGTACTTTTGAGAAATCTTCCATTTTGTCATACACCAGACCATAGCTATTGTACGAAGCGGCCAAATCGGGATGATTTTCAGGAAGAGCTTTTTTTGCGAATTTCAAGTGCCTGGTTAACAAACGAAAGCGCTTTCGAACATTCGCCCATATTATTATACACCTCTCCAATGTTATTGTAAGACTCAACCAAATCTGGATGATTTTGAGCAAGAGCTATTTTTCACATTCTAAGTGACCGTTCGTACGATGAAAGTGCTTTCGAGTACTTCCCCATTTTATTGTACATCTCTCCGATGTTGGGTGTGGGGTGTGGGTGTGGGTGCGGTTGTTGGTGTGGGTGTGAGTTTGGGTGTCATTTAAACAGAAACTGAACAACACACTCACAGCCATAGCCACAGCCACACCCCACTCACCCACCCACAGGCAGACCCCACACACGCATCCACACACACCCACGCCCACATCTACACTCACACCCATATCCTCATGATCTTTCTCAATGTTTTGAAAATCTAACTTATGGCCATGCATATGTTGATGATATAGCAATTGCTTATGTTCCGTCAATACATCTGAAATTAAAGTTTCAAGTTGTTGAAATCGCAAAAGGCATCAACAATGGTGTGCTAAAGTTGCTAAACTACGCGAACGATTGGCATCAACCATTGAATCCGAGCAAAACTGAATTTGTAGTTTATCATAAATCAACTCAATGCCCCAATCTGGATATTTACTATAATGAAGTGAAGACTTTGCAGGAGAAGAGTTTGAAGTACCTTGGTTTTCATCTAAACGCAAAGCTTTCCTTCGGTATTATGGTCGATGCTCAATTTTTAAAATTGCGAAAAGCTTATATGATATTAAAGTTTATTCATGGGGAATTTCCATCATTTTCGAAATTAATAATTAAACTTTTTAATACATACATATGGTTAAACATGTACATGATGGCAACAATTTATTGCGTTTTTTCAAATACCTTTCGTGAACGAATAGCAGCATTCTATCGAAGATGCTTAAGATTGATCTCCTTCCTATTTCAATGGCTTACAGAAGACTTACATCGTCACTTTCATCTGCCTGCAACTGAAGAAAGATACAAAATGTCTATTAAAACATATGAAAAATATTCAACTGTATGAATCAACGTTCATCGAATGCCCATTACGGCACAAATGCTTATTTAACATACTTAATAATCATTATCGAATTAAAGTGCATATAAAACATATGCCATCAGGTCGACCAAGCAAAATACTCAGATCTTTTCTTGATAGTGATTGTTATACCTTTCTCTATCACCTATATGAGTTTGTCTTTAGTTAGCTCACTCCTTCTCTTTGCATACACTTTCTTTCTGAGCAGTTGATTATTTTGTTAAGTTACATTTAATTTCATAGAATTGGATAGCTCTATTTGTGATAAGACGGCCAGCACCACATGGCAAATTCGTCATAATAAATGAAGCGTTAAAAAAAGGGTAGGTTCTTTAATATCATGTACTTATTACTCATCACATACAAGAAATTAGTGACAAGCATGACTTTTCTTTTTATCTTGTTTTTTTCGATATAGTTTTGTTTGACGATAGTCGATGATGCGTAACGATCAAAAATCTATAAAAGAGGAATGAATATATATATAATAACCAATTCTGATTAATATATAGCCATTTATCATATTATCTTGTTATTTTTTTTTTAAATTCATGAATTTTAAAGTAATATTATTTGAAGTTTTTCTTTTATTATTCACAAAATTACAATTTTATGAAGCCGTAACATGTAATGGTGTTATTACAATCGGTAATGCATGCTGTGGTAATCAAGGCTACTCTACATTAATTCAAACTTGTTGCAATGGTGTTGTTAAGACCGGTAACGCATGCTGTGGTGGTCAAGGCTACTCTACATTATTTAATAGATGCTGCAATGGTTTTATTACGACCGGTAATGCATGCTGTGGTAATCAAGGCTACTCTACATTAATTCAAACTTGTTGCAATGGTGTTGTTAAGATCGGTAATGCATGCTGTGGTGGTCAAGGCTACTCTACATTATTTAATAGATGCTGCAATGGTTTTATTACGACCGGTAATGCATGCTGTGGTAATCAAGGCTACTATACATTATTTAAAACATGTTGTAATGGTGTTATTAGATTTGGTTATATATGCTGAGAGGTAATATCCACAACTCAACATTTATATACATGTTTGATTAGGTTTTTACTGTTTTTTTTGTGAGCCTTTTTTTTCATAATTATATTATCAGTCTACTTGCATCATCCATAACTTACTGTGCTTGTACAAGGACGATTTTTAGTCTTTTATGTAGAATGAAAAGTGTTATTTTACCTCATTGATGCCAAAAAAATATTTAGATAGAATAGTTAAAATCTCGAGTATCCCATCCTAACAGAAATTATCGCTACGGTAGCTTATCATGTCTTATCTTTTTTAGGAACTGCAACTGGCACAACAGATGTCGGCACCTAAGCTCGTTCGCAAGTGGCAAAGTTATGTCCGAACGCTTTGTTTTTGTTTCTCCATATTTTCCTTTTCTTTCTACATTTTTAGTGTCTTTTTTTCAATTTCAAATAAACTACCTGACCTACAAAATTGTGTATACATAAATAAGAGGATACGTCAATCAAAACGTCATCAATTTTGATTGTGCTCATAAATAATGAGAGAAAATAAGGATGCACCATAAATCAAAGGTAATTATAGAAAGAATGTATAGGCATGAAAGCTAAGCTGTCATTTTGATTACAATAGTGACTAATTGAGGCTTGATTTTGTTCGTAATCGAGTACCCACGATGTAATGAATCAAAATTGCGCATTCACACATTATATTAAACGTCAAAGAAACTTCATTAGTCTTTTGCGCAATAAAATAATGACAAAATATGATAAACCAACAAATATATAATAAAACATAATATACTCCTGTTTATATTCCACTGTTGTGAAAATTTAAAATAAAGAATCCAAATATGAATGCAAAATAATTAATTTGTATTGAATTGTTACGTGTATAGAATTTGAATTAAGAAACCAAGATACAAATAAAAAATAACTAATTGATATTGAATCCGCTAGTTGACCATTTGAAGACCAACTTTCTTTCACAGAAAAAAATTAGATTTTTGTTTACAAATAAATTATAGTTGAGAGATATTAAAGACAATTTTTTTTGTCCAGATATAGTTCTAAAGATGCAGCTTTTATTTAGAAACAGAAGAAATAAATACATATCCAAGAAGTATACGAAGCAAATTTAATAACATATGAGAAGGGAAATTAATTAAAAAAAAACTAAAAACGTAATGAGGGTGTGGCTATGGATGGGTGTGGGTGTGAGTTGGTGTGGGTGTGGATGTAGGTTGGTGTAGGTGTAGGTGTGGGTGAGGGTGTGAATGAACATATCAGCCAGACTCACACCACACACCGACACCCACACCGACACCCACACTCACATCCATATCCGCACCCACACCCACACCTACAGCCCCATGTACACCACACTCACACCCCACACCCACATCCCACACCCTCACAAGGAGAATCCCAGTATATCAAGAGAAGGGAGAATACAAGAAAAATACCAACGCACCTGAACTATATCAAGAAAGAGAAAGAACGATATGGAATATACCATGAACGCATGAAAGAAAAGAATATATAGGATAGCAAAACGAAAAGGGGAAAGAAAAGAAAAAAACATGGAAATGAGAGTTCACCTCTCGTATCCTAACATTGTCATTAATGATTTGCTGAACTTTTGATATTGTCAATAGGAGCCTTTCGGTTGAGATGTTCCATGTTCATCAGGACATACGCGACGAGTAAATTCATCGACACAAGCCATACGAAGCCGTTCAACAGTTGCTGGGGAATGAAGTGTAAAATAGTCTGATAAACCTTGCTGTTCTCGATACGCCATACATGCTTGTTTTAAGGCGAAGAATACCGTAATACCTAGTAAGAGTGGTGGTTCACCAATACCTTTTGACGAATAAACAGCTCGTGGATTCAATGAATCGGATAGAAGTGAAACGCGAAAATCAAGTGGTACATCGCTAAATGATGGAATTTTATAAGTATCGGGTCCTCGAGTAAATAATTCTCCTGGTTGAATCCATTTATTTTGTGTATGATCACCCCAAATGAGTTCTTCCATAGTATATAAACCGATTCCTTGCATAAAACCACCTTCAATTTGACCGATATCAATTTGAGGATTAAGTGATGTACCAACATCCTATAATAGAACAATTTTATCATTAATCAAATAAAACTTTGCATACCATGAGAATATCAACACGTAAAATATGCCAGTCTCCTGTCAATACATCTAATTCGACTTCTGTTACTGCTGCACCTTGTGTATAGTAATTGTAAGTAGCTCGATTTTGAGTAAAATCCGCATCAAACATATTAGGTGTTATATAGAATCCATGTGCACATAGATCAATACGAGCAAAATAAGCTTGTTTAACAAGATCTTCCCATGAAATATTAACATTTTTATCAACAATAAGCGTATCTAATCGTTGACGAAGTTGTTCACAAGCATGTTTTACAGCCATTCCATTAAGATCTGATGAAACCGATGCAACTGTTGGAGTTATATTATGTATTTTATCTGTTGCTGTTTCACTAATTCGTATTTTATCAATACTACAACCTAACACTTCAGCAGCTATTGATATCATCTTTGTATGAAGACCTTGACCAAGTTCAACACCTCCGTGAGTGAGTAAAACTGAACCATCTTTGTAAATATGAACAAGAGCTCCTGCTTGATTGAGATATTGAACTATAAATCCAATACCATATTTAACTGGTATCATCGATATACCACGTTTTCGATAAGTACTATTACGATTAAATTCATCAACATTCGTTTGTCTTTGAATAAAATCACTTGATTTACTAAGTTCATCCAAAATTCGAGGAATATTCCATAATTCTAAAACTTGTCCATAATGAGTTGTATCACCTTCTTTAAATAAATTAAGACGACGAATAGTAATCGGATCACGCTTCAGATATGCAGCAACGTGTTCAACAATTGTTTCAGAAGCTAAAATTGTTTGTGGTCCACCAACACCACGAAAAGCTAAAACAAATCATTTATATTCTCTATTTGAAAGTTTCTTTTTAAATGACAGACCAGTATTTGATGGTAGATGTGTTTTACAAACACGACCACGAATTTTAATATGAGAAAATTGATAACTATTACCCATTTGAAGCATACCTAGTTGCATCACAGCTGCTGACGCATCTAATGTACAACCAGCATTATTCCACATTTGAATATCGAGTCCCAAAAAGCGACCTTCATTAGTGAATGCTATTTTATATTTTATTTTATATGGATGACGATGTCCAGTGATAGATATATCGATATGACGCTCGAGATTAAGGCGAACAGGACGACCAGCTTTGACAGCAGCTACTGTAGTAGCAAGACATGGTGGAATACTATAATATAATAAATTCCTATATGCATTACATTCGAGAGAAAAAAATATTTGACTTACAATCTAAATTCTTTTCCACCAAATGCTCCACCAACTCGTTTGACATGACATGTTATATGACTAACATCTCGTCCGAGTACTAATGACGTTAACTCTTGAATTGCCGATGGATTTTGGGTGGCCACATACAATGTTATTTCTTTATCATCATTAGATGGTATAACCATACAAGAATTTGTTTCGATATAAAAATGTTCTTGACCACCGATATATAATGTTTCTTCTAATATATGTTCAGCATCGACAAAAGATTTTTCAACATCACCTTTTTGAAGACATATTTCATCACCAAAATAAGATTGATGATTAATAGCATCTTCGATTGTCAAAATTGTTGGAGATAATAATTCATAATCAATTTTAATAAGACTTGAAGCTAACTGAGCTGCATGTTCTGTTTCACAAACAACAACACCGATTATTGCACCGATACAATGTGCAATTGACGATACAAATACTTCTTCATCTGGCAATGCACCATTCGTTCTATTTGAACCGGGCACATCAAGATGATTGACAAATGATACAAAACCAGGTACTTTTGAAGCAGCTTCAATATCTATCATTATATTATTTCAATGAGATCTATCAAAATAGTAAAAAACTCTTACTGATATCTTTGATTCTAGCATTTGGTTTTGTACTGAGTACGAGTGCAGCATGAAGTGTATTGACTAGAGATGGCATATCATCGACATATATAGCCTCTCCAGTTGCATGTAAATAAGCTGATCGATGTGGTAATGAACTACCAACAACTTTTTGTGATTGAGGTCGTTCAGGTATTGTTTGTTGTCCATGTGAAATTGGTCGATGATAAGAAAGAATACTTGAATCGGTTAATGGTTGGCGTAATTCATTACATACATATGAATAAAATTTAAAAAGAAATGATTGAACTAATGTTCGTCTAAATACATTGAGAAAAATATGAAAATATTTATATTCTTAACAGATAATAATTACCTCAATTCAGGTTGTCCACCTGGACTTAATTCACCAAGTGGCATTTCTTTAAGAAGTGATTCACATGTTTGGTTAATTGTTTCTTTTGTCCAAGGTAATCCAATTAATTGTTGTTGAGTACTTGTTGCAACAATTGTTTTCGATGCCATTCCTCCAAATGAAAAACAAGCTGAAACAATTTGCCATCGATCATTAACTAAATTCGATTGTTCAAGTTGAACTTTAATTCCAGCACTAACAATTCCTTTCGAATCATCTCGACGACGAGCTTGTTTATATGATCGAAGAAAATATTTATTTGATGAATTTGGAAGAGGAATATGAATAGCAACAAGAACTTCATTATCTGCCATTGATATACGACGATTACCGAGAAAAAAATCGCATAATCGAATATGTTGTATTTCAGTATTGTCAGCACGATGTAATTCAAGTGTAGCGTCTGCAGCTATTAATACCGGATTGATGTCAGAACTAGATAAAAAAACGAAAAATTTGAAAGAGTTTTTCGAATGTAATTTACGTCGGTGAAGCAGAAATTATATTTCCTCCAAGTGAAGCAACATTTCGTATTTGTGTCGATGCAAAATGTTTCATTTGATCAAGTAAAGCTTGACAGAAACTATCATCGTCACTCCATTCAATTAATTTGGATTTTAAACGTGTAAATGTCACGCCAGCTCCAAGATATATTGAATCTTTAGTTCGTTTTATTTCTTGTAATTCTTTAATATGTGTAATTGCAATAAGACGAGGATAATTGATTTGTTGAAACTTTCTTTCTAATTGTACTGTAGTATTACCAAAAACAAGTTTTGATTGGCCACCTGGATAAGTATGACGAAGATGAAGTAATTCATTGAGTGATATTGGACGCAGGCCCCGCGCGAGGGACCCAAGATTGGGGGGGTGTGACGAGATTTCAAGGCAGTCAAGACTGAGGGAAGCAAAATTTTTTTCGCATTAGATCTGATGTTAATCTTTTTTTGCGGACCTAAAATGTAATCATTTTTCGCGAAGCGACAACTTTTTGCAACCTCCTTAAAAAATTCGATTTTTTTCTCGCAAATTTTCAAGAAGAGAACTCGAGTCCAATATGAGAAAATTTCTCGATACTGCCGTTATCGAAAGCGACCACTTTGGTGCAAATTGCTCTATATCAAGCTGTTTCAAAGGAAAAGTTGACTAAAGTATTATCCGATCCAAAATGAAAGGCAGGTTACCATTTTTCGCATAACTATTGATACGAACGAGATAGAGAGCTGCGGTTTTCACCATTCGAAAGAGCGATGTCCGAGCCACTGATCGGTATAGAACTGATTAAAACGAAAGATATTTTTTTTTATGTGTACCTTTGGATCAACACTTTTCCTTTGAGTATTTTCATCAATTTTTAGAATAATCTCAACTCTAATTATGTCAAAATGTAGCTCAAATCATCCTCTTTTTGCTATAAAATTAACATTTGTTTTTTTAAAATCCGCTTAGAATAAGCGATTGAGAGATAATAAAATATGTGATAATTTTATAGCGAAAAGAGGGTGATTAGAGCTACATTTTGACATAATTTGAGCTGAGATTATCGTGAAAATTGGTGAAAATACTCAAAAGAAAAAATGTTGATCCAAAGGTACCTATAAAAAAAGCATCTTCCGTCTTAATGAGTTCTATACCGATCGATGGCCCAGACATCCCTCTTTCGAATTGTGAAAACCGCACCTCTCTATCTCGTTCCTATCAAAAGTTATTCGAAAAATGGTAACCTGCCTTTTATTTTGAATCGGACAATAGGAAGTTTGTCTAAGTTAACTGCGGTTACACAATTGTTATTTTTCGCGAAGCGAAAACATTTTTCAGACTCACGACAAACTCTTTTTCCCTTATGTTGTTCGAAAGCAAAAAGTGTTGCGATAACTCTTAGAGATTTCGCCGCCGAAGGCGGCCATGCTAGTGATGGCTGTTGGAAAATAAAGCTCTTCAAAAAGAAGACAGAAGTAAAATTGCGTTAAAAACAGAAAAATCACAGATATTTCTAGGTCGAATACGCTCCCGTGGTCATGTTTTCGCGAAGCGAAAAATTTAAACATCCCTTCAGAAATTTCTAGCAAAAAATTTCAAAAAGATTTATGGATTTTGTTGGCTACGAATGAGTAATTATTAATTATTGGGGGGGTGCACACCCCCCTACACCCCCCCACTTTCGCGGGGCCTGATTGGACGATACCAATCAATCGAAGAACCTATTTATTTATAAATGAAATTGATTTGATATGAAAAAAAATAGATAATACCTTTGATATGAATTGATTGAGGAATATAATTTCGAAGTTTTGAGGGAAATTCAACTTGATTAATTGGTAATGAATTTTGTTGATTATATAAAAAACATTTATCCATTGTAGTCGATGTTGTTGATGATGAAGATTTTTCATAATGAATTTTATCTATATCAATTGCAAATGTTTTTGCAGCATCAAGAATCGGACGATATCCAGTACATCGACAAAGATTTCCATCAAAAGCTTCTTCAATATCTTGCATTGTTGGTAATAAATTATGTTTTGATGTGAGAGTACCATAAAGAGACATGACCATTCCTGGTGTACAAAATCCACATTGTGAGCCAGATAATTCAGCAAGACGAGTTTGAGTTGCATGAAGATTTGATTTGTTCACTGAGCCTAATCCTTCAACAGTGATTACATGACATCCATCAACAGAGCACAAAGGCGCCAAACAGGCATTGACTGTACGATGTTCAATTTCATTAGATTTTTTATCAATACATCTTGAAATGAGTACTGTACAAGCTCCACAACCACCTTCTCCACAACCTAATTTTGAACCCGTTAATCTTAATTCTATAGGCAACAAATAAAAATACACGTCATATTGAAATATTAAATATTAATGACACTTACTATTTCTTAAATACCACAGAAGAGTCCATTCGGGTTCAACATTACGATCAATTATTTCTTTACCATTAACATAAAACGAGAGATAATTCATCGCTATAGCGTTGTCTTTTAAACTATATCTTCGTGTCAATAGTATGTGCACAGTTATATGTGTTCGGACAGATATTGCAGATAAGGCAGGTGAAGAGTTGAGAATATAGATATCAGCACATTTTCATCATAAGTAACAATGACTAGGTAACTCGATGGATGATATATACGTGTATATCTTTCATTCTCCGTGCCGTAGTGCCGTAGTCTTATTGAAGAGTAGAGATAGAAGAAAAGATATACAGCATCAATTCTTTTTTAGTTCGAAACCCAGTAACTTCTTTTTCAATGGTCTCGATCATAGTCACGCTAAATTTGATCTATTCCCTGTTCCAGAAATTATTGTTTTTCGGGTATCAACCCCAGTCCTGGCATTCACATAGAAAAAAAAATTATTTCAAATTTCTTCGTATCAAATCTAAAAAAAGATTCATCGAATCTAAGATTTTTCACTATAGGTTGAACCAGAGACTGGAATGAGCTGGATTTGACTTATTCGAATTAGTTTCGGTTTAAGTAGTTTCATTTTGGGTTCCTAATTCGAGGTATAATATTAGTATGGCGAAGTCAAGGAAGGTTGTAATAATGAGAATTGGATTGACAACTGGCAAATTGAAGAATTGGTGACGGCCATTGTTATAATGATGGGCTGAGATTTTCTGGCGTACTTGTCCTTGTTTGCATTAATTTATGCTATATTAAATAAAAAAGACAATCAATTGAAGTTGTACTGGTGAAACATGACTGAGAAGACGATGAAAGTTGACAAATCATTCTCAACCAATTACACAATAATTATTAAAGAAAACAAAAAGTAGAAATCATAGAATAAAGAGGAAAAGGACAATATCAGGATACGACAGTATTGTATGTCTTATGAACAATCTGAAAATTAATGTTTTTGACGTTACAGAAAGAAAAAGAAGAGAAAAGAACAAATTATCAAATGTATCCGTATTCAGATGTACGTGTAATAATAGCACAAGCTGGTAGTCGGTGAGAATTTCGCGGCATCGATTTGGGACTTCGATGCCCGTTGGATGTTTTTACAGAACGGACAATGTGCACATATATATATAGATCACCTGGAGTAAACATGACGTTTTAATCTTTGATAAACCTATGTGTCGTCACGATATATGTGTAATGCTAAGATTTTTTCTTAACTTTCTTTAAATATATAATTTTGAAAATATTTTTCATACAATGGTTTGAATACATTATTATTATAGATACTTGACAAACAAATCTGTCTGTTACAGTTTCGTTGTATTAAATAGAAGATAAACGGTTAAATAAAAACTAGATTAGAATTGATTTGAGTATGAAAGAAACACTTAAAAAATATTGGATCTAGAATAATGATAAAGGTCGCATAGTGTAGAGCCCGGCACGCATATACAAAAATATTATCTTGCGGAATCTAATCATTTGGATAAACACATATATGTACATACGATGTATGATTTCCTAAGATAGCACTTTTCAAAGTTGTACAGAGCATCAGACAAGGACATAGCAAGAGTTTAGCTCATGAATTCATATAAATAAAGAAAGTCAAGCCACTCGATAATATAACACAGTATTGTACAAGACAACAATATTAGAAAAATATTGTTCGAATTGAATATAGAATAGTGTAGAAAAGAAAGGATCTCTAGGTCAAAAACCTATTAGAAAATGTACCGTTCCATGTATTATAAACTCTACAAATAGATAATGTCCGATCAGCCACAAATTTTTACCAGATATTAACACAGATGTATCCTAACAACAGTGCTAGCATCGATTCATGCAACTTTTCGTAGACACTAGGTTAGAGACAGTGGCGGCGGAGCCATTGAGATCCGTGAGGCTCAAGCCTCACATGGTTTTGGGCAATTGAGGCTCAGCCTCACTTAATTTTAGACTTGACATCCTACGAGAATACACAGTTTCCAAGCCTCTTGTACATGGGTGTTCCGAGCAGGAGATGACCTCCTCAATAGTCGAAGATTGTCGTATTTTGTTGGCTGAAAGGTAGGGTTTATTATGCGATGCATGGAGCCTAGTAGCTTCTTCGCGAAAATCCAGGATCAAACGATTGTTCTCAGGAAAACAAAATCTATAGAAATGTCAAAAATTTTTCGCTTTCCGACAATTTAACAACTGTCTCAATGTGGTCAACTTAAAAGATCTCTAGACTTTTGTAAACAGCTTTGTTTTGAAATATTCATTGAAAGTGTAGCCCCTTTCGGCGGCAAAAGTATTAAATAACTTCTCTTGAATTGAATGCAAAGACATTTTTTTCCAAAAAACCTGCAAGAAAAGCAGTATTTTTTAAAATGCGCAAAAATTATTCTCTTCACAGAAGTTTAATGACTGCACGAGTGGCGTACTCAATGATAGAACTCTCAAGACAATTTTGAAAACTTCGTTTCTTTTTAAAGAGATTCATTTTTTGAGCAAACGTCATCAGCATGGGCGCCTGCTATATTGAATAATTTTTCGTTAAAATTGTTTTTCTCGAAAAGACTGCAAAAGGAAGCAGAGTTTTAGCAGTCTGCAAAAACTATTCTCACTTCACGGCCAATTGTGTTCAGTTTCCTCCGATTTTATGGAGTTGTCTCAAAGTTCGACTTTTTCGCATCGAACTTAGTTGGAAGGAACAAGGCCCTTAGTGCAATTTATAGCCGAGAAAAAATTAGCACAAGCTTCGATGCGAAAGCTGTTTGACCCTCAATCTTGACAACCTCGAGACACTTCTGTACTTGTGGTAGTTTGTGATTCAAGAACGAACAAAGAAAACTGGACTTTACACCTTTTAGTCGTATCTCTTTTTATCCGTCTCTTTTGTTTGTTTACTGGAGTTGAGAAACACATTTACTTGACGCTTCAATAAAAGTTTGACTGTCAAATTTCGGCCGTGAGGTGGCAGGAGGAATCCTATGAGTAGAGCCTGTCGGTTCCGGGTCCTGATCTAGAAATTGTTGGACCTGATGGGCTCTACCTATGAGGCTCACTTATATTTAAGACGCTCCGCCGCCCTCGGTTAGAAGATATCCGTAAACTAGAGGTCTCTAGTGAAAAATCAGTTTTTAGACATCTTTGTTGCACTTTTAAGGGAAAGTAACTAGATACTCGGAATCGGCTCATCGAATTGCATCGAACCATATTTATACAATAGCTTTTTAAGGAAGTTTTGGTTCATTTTCAACGCTGAACTCGGTTCGAAAACCTGCTGTTCTGGATTTTGTCAACCCTACTAAGAAATAACGTCCAATCGAACTCAAATTCTCACCAGCTACTTCTACATGTACATCTTAATACTGGTAGTAGCACTAATCATGAAATCTGTTCTAGGTTATTTTGAAAATTTCCACAAAAGCTCATGATTTTACCCAGAAATTCGATTTTAGGCGTCCATGTAACACTTCGAAGTAAAACTAAGGTGATATACGGAATCAGCGCATTAAACTGTGTCGAATGATATAAAGCTCCAAATGTTTGTCGAAAAAGTTTAGATAAAGATCTTCTAGCTATATTTTGACAAAAAATATTTTTCGTGGAAAAGCTTTTATCGGTCCAGTATGATTTCCTGAGAAACATATAATCATGTTTTAGTGAATGAAAGCCGTTTTTGAGCAAGAAAGTTGCATGTTCGGTTGCTTATGCGCAAGCTGCGAACTGTGTCTCGCTCCGTTGATCTCTTTAGTATTAGGACATTTAATCATGCCAATAATTATGAAGACTAAAGAATGAACTAACAGTTGGAAATTACTCCATTGATAAGATTTTGTTGTTGAGAATTCGAAATTTTGTAATAAAGAATAACCAAAAGTGAAGTTTCGAGCAAGTTATGACTGATAAAAATCATACCGAGCCATCGATACTTTTTTTCGATAGTTTGGAATGTGTTCGAGAAGTCGAAAATGAATGAAGGATAAGAGAACGTTTTCGAAATCTCGAAATTCTAACAGAATGAGGAAAACAGCATATTTTCAAGTTTTGACCACTTGCCGCACCTATTGTTCGTTTATCAGTGTGTAACGTATTTTAAAAGATATTTTTCATCATGTTAGCACAACTACGACTATTTTATTTAGTATTCAATAGCGAACTAGAGGAGTAGCGTTGCCACTCTTCTCGATATAGATGTCACTACATACTATTCCATCACCAGTTGTCGCCATATCACATCAAACACAACTTTATATAGAAGAACAAGAATATTGGTCATAAAAGAAAGACTGAGAGCAACCGATAAAAGATTATACGACTGTTACATCATGAAAAGGTACAAGAGAACAATGCAAGATGGTGACATGTAGGAGTATGCTTTATTCATCGACACACAGTGTCAATTTTAGGACTTTCTTGTCTATTATTGAGTATATTTTGTACATCACAAAACAATTAAAGGAAGTTCTGTGCATTCAGCCAATACTCATGAGTCTTTTTTCATTAGATCTGAGAAGATTTTCAAGCTTCCCACACCCTCATTCTGATTATTAATAAAATAGGTCGAATTATTTTTTCCATTAGCAATGGCTTGTAATTCATCGAATCTTCGTCTGGCTAGTAAATACTGAACCGCCAAATAATGATCATTATTTAATTCTTTACTAATTGCTTGTAATTGTTGCGTAAGAGCTAATGTTTCTTGTTCAATCAAATATCGTTGCCCTTCAGCTTGTTTTTTTGCTGTTAATAAATTAGCATCAGCTAGATTCTTAGCTGCAATCAAATTTCCTTCACTTTGAAGGATTGTTGATTGTTTTTCACCTTCACTAATATTTATTTTAGCTCTTGTATTTAATTCCTGTTGTCGACGATCACGTTCTGCATCCATTTGTTTTTCTAATGTTTTAGCTACAGATGCATCTAAGGGTCCAAATGATTGTATTTCAGCTTTTGTGGTTTGAACACCCCAATGTTCAATAGAAGTACCAACGACTAATAACCATTCTTTATTCAGTTTATTTCGATCGCCAATAATATGATCATATTCAAACTGTCCAACAATAGAACGAAGTGATGATGTTCCAACAGAACGAATGGCTGAACGATAATCAGTGACATCAAAACAAGCTTTATAAGCATTTTTAACTTGATAAAATAAAACAGCTGATAATTCAACGGGAACATTATCTTTAGTAAATGCATCGATTTTTTCAACTGTCATACCAGCTTCACGCATGTCAACTTTTTGAACATTATGTAATACAGGTATCAATAAACATAGACCTGGTTTTAAATGAACTAAAATACATATTACACAACTTTTTTATATATCGGTTTAATATTGAAGCACAAGAGTAACCTGGATTTTTTCCAAATGTCGTTCGATATGCTTCGAAACCTTGATTAACAATTGTTAAAAAAGAACGTTTTTGTACACTACTACTATAATGAGGAATGTTTGATAATCTAAATACGTTCCTGAACATTTTATCAATTTCGTTGTTTTATTTCCATATTTCACTAGTGTAAACCATACTTATATGAAAAACAATAATGATGCAAGCACACGTCATGTAGAAATGAATAATAATGACGCTTGCGTTCTTCCATTATACATACTTTTTCTTTCTCTTATTTGCCATGTAAAAGGTGTAGTCAAGGTGAAAATATGATTATTATCCTTCCTTCTTTCTCTCTACGTAGAAATATATGATATGCATGTTATAGGTGTTTGCGCACACAATTTGTCCATTCGAAGATAGAAGAAAACGTTTATAGCAGTAGAACGTTCATAAAACGCATGAGGAAATCGACTTCCAATTGATACAGAAGCTGAGAAAATTGTTCCATCAAGTGATATCAATACAATATGTTTACAAAAAGATGTGATTGTCTGAAAATAAGACATGAAAAAGTGCTTGATGTTTCCGCATCAAAGATTCATTGCCAACGATATTTACATGGATCCTATTTAATTCACAAAGTCCTAATTTCTTGAAAATTAGAAAGTAAATTGCGCTAAGCAGAGAGAAGCACAAGCGTTTTTTCGTTTGTTTCTACACGCTTTCAAGAATTTTATTATTGGAAAAAAAAAGAAAAATACTTGCGCTTTTCTGTCATTTTTCTGCTCTGCTGAAAATTCGTCTGAGAAAAAGTAAAAAGTAACCGGAATCAAATAATAATGTTCAAACAACAGGCTGCATCCGTGGAACCGGTTCAGGACCAAAATTCATTCTGCATATGTCTAGATGTAAGCCAATCGGCTAAGTCGCTGCCGTCAATAGTTATAGAATTTTTGGAATATCGTAGACGCCGTCCTACTGTCAAAAGTAATCGTTGAAAAATTCAGTCGCTGGAACAAAAAAAGTAGTTAATAGTATATAAAACTTTTCGATTTCTAAAATCATTTTTTTAAAGTATTCTCTATCGTTATTTTCCTCTTTTTCCATTCGAAACATTCTTCAAAATTAAGAAGAATGTTAAAAATTCTTGAAAAAAATTAGCCACCGCCGACCGACAAAAAAAAGCAACGTTAAATTCAGTCGTCGCGACAGAAACAATAAAATAGTAACACTGAATTCAGCCACCGTCGTCGATCTGTGCAATAACTTACACCTTTATGCATATTTAACAAAATAACGAGGAGATTATACGACAAGCGAAAAACATGCTTCATAGTTTTTACATGAGAAGAAAACGCAAATTGTCTTGCTCCACTTTTAGGGTGTGGGTGGGTATGGGTGTGGGTGGGGTGTGGGTGTGGGGTGTGGGTGTGGG